ATAATTAATGTACACAAATAAGGAATAGTTGTATTAACCATACATGTAAAAAGAGTCTTATTGGGCCCCAGGAACTTGGGGCAACTGCCTAGTATTGCCTGATGGTAACCCCCCCCCTGAACATGAGACCATATAGCCACAGAGTTAGCAATGCATCCTGAGGCTAGGCTGCTACTGAATAGTCCGTCTGTTTCGCTGTTTCCCACAGATGACATCATGGAGGCCGTTGGGTTTAAATCTGGTTCTTCCACCCCTCAGCGGTCCGGCTCCACCGCCGGTCTCCACAGACCCCGCCTCAGCATCGACTCTGCGAGCCCCGCTATCGATCTGCCCCAGCTGAGCTCCTCTCTGCCGGGCTCCCTGTCCGGTAGTTCCCCCCTGCTCACGCCACGTCAGGGATCTCACACCATGGACTTCTTTGAAATGTGCGCCAGTCTCATCACCACGCTGGCTCGCTGAGGTCCGCTGATTCCCAGGCTTCCCTGTAACCTGGAAGTACGTGTGTGTTTTAGGGCTAGCTGCAAATCCGGGAGGTTTTTGGTGAACTTATGGAAGCCAGAAAAAAAAAGGGGAAGAATCGCAGGTCAGAATCGCATCAGAGTCGGTAAAAGTCCCGTTTATTGTCACTCCTCCCGTAGATCCTTTTAATGACCGGACATCCTGCTGCGGTCCGTTCTGCTGCTCGTCTTTAGCAGCTGTTTCTGGAGGAACATCACTAGATTTCAGCTTCTGTATCGGTGGTATGTTTGTCCATTTATATTTATATTACTTTATTATAGTTTTAAAAAATATATTTTCAAAGGTATACCAAAAAAAAACACTTTCTACATTGAAAAGAATATTATTATTTAGATATCAGATTCATATTTATTTTTTTAGGCACTAGTTTTATTCCAAACATCTCCACAGATTTTTGACCTAATTTTTGAGTAGTTTTAAGACAGTTTAATGAAGCACGACAGGCTGGTGCGACGCTGATGCTTAGAACTGCCTGTGCTGCTTGCTCTCTGTGCAGAACATGCACACTGTCTCCCCGCGCCACGCCGCCGTCCGATACCAACGTGCTCTGATAGGAGCAGCTGCTGCTCAGCTTATCAGTGGGACTTAAACACAATTTTATATAAAAAAAAAACATATAGGCCTCTGACATCAGAAAGAGGAGCAGGCGAGAACGCACTGAGCTGAAAACAGCAGATGGCTTTACTGAAGACGTACTAGAACAAATGGTGTCGCTTTAACTTTTGAGAAAAAAAGAAGTGAAAAGTCATTTAATGGAAAAGTCCGTTCACAATCAGATTTAAAACTTCTGAAAGTTCTTTAAATCTGAAATGATTCCATCCTGTTCAATAAATGATCAGTGTTTTT